ACTTTATCTGGCATTTCATAAGCACGCCGGCCAGGAGGTAAAGTAATTAATTGATCATCTTGATAAAGCTGTGAAATAGGATCTCCTTTTACCATAAATTATACTAGGGGTTCATAGAAATGTTTAGCAAAGTTTACTAAACATTTAACTTGGATGTTTAATTTCAGATCAACTAGCCAGGTATTAAAAAGATGCCAATTTTCAAAATAGGATTTAGGAATAGTTTTAAGATTTTCAAATCTTTTAATGACCAATTTGTAAATTCAATCTGAGAAAAATGACGATTTAAGTATTGTTTTGCTGTTTATAACTCATAACCCCATTGAGAACGAAGTAGTAATTGATATAAGTTGTAATGGAATCCCAATAATTCTTCATAAAGATTTTTAATAATTTGAGTATTTATATTAAGAAGTTTATCTTGTAACTTGAGTCATTTTCATCATGTAATTTTCATGCTAGATAAAATAAGTTGTATGGATTTATTTTTTTTGAAAATCCAGTGCCATTTAAAAGTTTTCCAAATGCTGTTTATTCGAAATTATTAAACAAAATCTGAATTATATGTAGCCTACAACCAATCTGTAATGAATGTGATCCTGTTTTTTTATTAAAGAGAGTAACTGCACTACCTTTAATTTCTGATATATAAGCTGTATTATCAGTTATCCATAGTATACACCTTGTAAAATCTAAATTATCTTGTTTAATATTTTTAATGACAGTATCACATACAAATTCTGCATTACATTTTGGAATATTTTGAAGTTGAGCTATAACTACAGCTAGCATCTGATTTTTCTGATTTCAGAATTGATAACACATAACAAAATATTTTGTTTCACCTCGAGTTGATTTATCAACCATAATTCCAAATGCTGATGCATTGGCAATTTGGCAAATTTGAGTATTTATATATAATTCTGAGATATCTTGATGCCAAGTACATAATGTTGAAATTGATAGCTGATTTTAATATAGCTCTCCAATTAAAAATTTATAAATTAGTTTCATATATTCTACTGTTGAATATAATGATATCTGGCTAACTTATGATATGCTAGTTGCAAGCTGAATGTATAGTTTCATTCGTTATCTTTAAATATAAATTTAATTTATTTTTTAAATTCTACATCAGTAATTTAACGTTATGACAGGTAAAATTTTTGATAGATTTAATTGGTAGAATAAGAAGTCAATTTTATTGCCTTTGATAATCACGTAGATTATAGATATCCATTTAATTGCCTGCAGATCTGGCAATTTTATTCACATAATAACTTTATTGCCTAGCAAAATGGCAACTTTATTTCCTTTGATATATTTAGTTTAGTTTATTTTATTATTTATTCAAT